TCACTAAAGGTTTAACGACCGCACTCAAAATAGATCAAAAAACTGTTAACACTGGTATACCACAACATTTTCTATACTTGCCTGGACGTACGAATAACTAGAACGACAACATTCCAAGTGCAATTTGGAAACTATTTGTGTAATTTAACGTATTATTTACTACCTATTCTTTTTAACGGCAGGGTATACACTGTGAAATATAACTTCAACGATGCTGAGATATTTGCAAAACTCCGGACTGCAAGTTAATGCGGTGGGGAACGAACACGCGCTGTTGTCCTTACCAAGGAGCAGCGCACTTCACCACCACACCATGCGGGTCACCACTATGTGTGTATTTTCCCTGCTAGTTTATAAATTTATAAGTGCTTATTTGCGTGCATGGCAAACTTTTCGATTGAAACGAACTCAAGACACAACTCTCTGAGTAATGTACAGAAATAAAAAGTCGAATAAACACGTTCATTAAAAAATTTATCCAGTTATAATCAATCTTTAGCAGACGTTCTCGTGCCGGATTTTCAATAAATGAGAACATATTTCCTCAACGACTAAAACCATTGAGAAGCAGAGAATGAGCCTCGAAAAGGAAAAAGCTTGCTGACTTCAGAAAGTCCGAATTCCGATGTGATAGAATAAGGAAACCCTAATGTATTGGCGAAAAGAACTATAGATTACAACGCATTTTGTTGTCAACAATAAATATCAAATACGGAGAGTAAACTTCACTACCAGATGTGCTTGTTTAACGATGTGAGACCATATTTCTCGACCAACTATAAGACATGTGTGACCTATGTGATCACAAAAGTGTTCAAAGGAGTTTCTAAGTCTTAATTGTAGATGTAAAGTAGAAAGTTACGCAATGTCCCTATCATTACACACTAAACAGAAGGCAGTAAAAATCGTACTTCACATATGTTCCATACTGTCCAATTTTTTCCTCAAGAACTGATGATTCACTCTCTATGCGTTCAAAAATCTATTGAAGATGAATAATACTGGAAATGGTACAGGTTAGCGTAAGGATTTCTTGGCAGTCCTTTTGTTAAGTATCATTTGTATCACCTGTAGTCCCGCTGATCATCGAGTGACTCGAGCAGGCGCCAGTAAATCTTCCATTTTTCACTGTCGCGCGCAAGAGTAGCCCAGTCGGTTCTGCTCGCTCTAGGGACTCGTCCAGCATCACACCTTCTAAGCTCTTCGTGAAGAACTTTGACCATCGGGTCCGTGGCGTTGCTGCAGTACGTTTGACATCCTGAGGTATCCAGTTACTAATGGCTCTTATCCATCCGTTGTCATTCATACGCATTATGTGTTCGGCACACCTTATCTTCGACTGTTTGGCGTACCGAATGGCATCTTTGATTTTTGATCGTTAACACAGATCGGCGCTTCGGATCCCTACCCTTAATTACCTGACACGGAATACTTCTAGCATCGTCCTTTCGACTGCGTGATAACGCTGAGTAACCTTTCACCCTGCTTACGCAGCGACCAGGTTTCTGACGCATACGTTAGGGCAGGAAGCACCGTTGAGTCGAAAAGGTGGGTACTGAATCGAGTGTTCTTTGTTCTCTTCACTACACCCTTGATGCTTTTAAAAGCTCTCCAAGCCGCCCGTGTCCTTCTGCTCAGCTCTGGAGCTAAGTCGTTCATCATATTGATTTCCCGAGCTAGATAGACATAACCGGAGCATTCGAAGATATTCGTTCCGTTGAGTGTGAATGGGGCATACGAAACCAATCCGTTCTTCTTGAACGTCGTTTTTGGGCGATTTAGTTGAAGACCAACCTTTCCACAGGCTTTATCAAAGTCGGCAAGCATACATTCCGCCTGGCTAATGTTTGGTGTTATAATGACGATGTCATCAGCAAACCCAAGATGATGTAACTGCAGACCATCGATTTCCACTCCCATATTAATTATCCTGTTCCAATGTTCGCATGACGTTTTCGAGGGTGGTGGTAAATAGTTTCGGCGAGATGGTATCGCCTTGTCTAACCCCTCCTTTGACGTCAACGATAATACCGCTGTAGAATGGTGATATCTTGGTTGCGAAATCTTTGCACAGCTCACGAAGAATCTTTATGTACTGAGTAGTAAGAACTCCTTGACTATTAAGACCTTCCATGGCTGCTTCTATTCCAATTGGATCAAAGGCCTTCTGTAAATCGATGAAAATGAGACAGAGCGGTCTTTTACTCTCGCGATACTTCAATGAGCCTTGTTGTTGCGTGCATGTGGTCCATCGTACTAAATCCTTTTCGTAGCCCTGCTTGCTCACATGGCTGTCCTTCGTCTAGTGTTCTGTCAATCCTGTTTAGGATGACTCGAGTGAAACGTTTGTAGACGACGGACAGTAAGCAGATTGGGCGATAGTTGCCGAAATCGTGTGGGCCACCCTTCTTGAACAATAACACGGTCCTCCTGATCTTCCACTGAGTAGGGACCATGCATTCAGACAGGTAACGTATGAAGACCTGAGCCCGTGTGTTTACGAGGACTGGCGGAAGGTTCATCAGGCGTTCTGTTCTTGTCTTATCTGAACCTGGTGCTGTTCGATTTTTCACCGACGAAATGGTATGTCGGATTTTGGAAGGGAAAACCGGTGGTACAACATATTCATTATTTCATATGACGGAAGGTGGACGTGGCTATCCAAGAGATTTGAGTAGTGTTCGTGAATGATTTTCTCCATTGCCTTTCTACACGCTGTAACTGTTCCGTCTGGGAGCCGGAGTGCAATTATGCTGGTCTTGCAATTGGCGAGGATTCGGCGGGCTTTGAGAGTGCTTTTCCCAGTCCCTACGGCTTCGACCATTACTGTTGTTCTTCTCTCTTTAAGATCTTCTTTTGTCGCCTGTCTGCACTGTTTTGCAAGCTGGGATGTTAGTTCGCGGTTGCCTACAGCTCGTACGATTCCACGCTGGCGTATCAACTCGAATACTTCTTGAGAGAGACGTCTCTTGGTGACTTTCGAACTCTGAGCTTTCATAGCGCTAGTGTGAAGATGTTGAATGAGCCGATCGTATTCTTCGCCAATGTTATCGACAACGGCATCTTCTCAACAACCAACTAATGAATTGAACAAGCCCAAGTTTATGGTGGTTTTGCGATTTCGCTTTTTGAATTTGGTGGGTTTTTCTCCATTACTCGAAAACCAGCATTGAGGGTGCTGCTTCTGGAATGGCGAGTTACCATGAATGGTTTTGGTCATGATAAATAAACTGATTGTGGTGAACTCAGGCAGCAACTCACCCTGTTCGTTCTATTCTAATCCATGGGTCCCAATGTAACGTTCTTCAGACGTCCTTTTTGGTCCAATCTTGGCGTTGAAATCTCCAATGATGACCTTGAAGAATGTATGGTCTTCTCCGTAGAACTTACCCAAGTCCATATAGAACGCTTCGACTTCTTCTTCATCATAGTTTGATGTCGGCGCTTAAACGAAGAAGATTGTCAAAGCCGGTATTGATCCACATCTTTTTAATCGTAAACGTCCGATCCAAGTTGTAAGCTGTTCGAATGAATCGATGTTCATGGACAAACTCGTGTTAACGAGAACGCCAACTACCTCTACTGTCGCATGTTCCGAGGAACAGTTCTTCTCCGGAGCCATACACGGCGTTGAATGGGTGGTGTCGTCTAGTCTCGGCCAGGTCGATGACGTCGTACCTTATCCTTCTTGCTTCCATGAGCAAATCTATCGAGGACTAGGATGCAAGTGTATGTGCATTGTAAGTACGGATTGTCACCATAGTTCTTCGTAATCCAAGCAGGTTCCATTGATCCTGAGATTTTACCAGCCTCTCCGTACTCGTTCTACCCAACCCAGCGAAATTGGGAGCTCTTTCGGGTTCAGGGGAATGAAGCGCGTTGTTTTTTTTTTACTGTGTCTAGCATTTTGATACCCACGTATAGCTTGCTTGGCTCTAAACATGGTGGGAGCTGGTATACTCACGGGTAGCTTGCCAGACTCTCCTACAGTGTACATGGAGCTTATTTGTTGGAGGCAACTCCTAACCGACTCCGCCTCCCATATGCTTCCCTGTCACTTGATTGCAGGCTTTTGGCCGACTTGACTCGTAGAACAGAATCCGCATAGGCAGGAACGCACCCATACACGCATGCATGAATACGCCTAGCAAATACAGAAAGTATGTGCCAAATCAGCGCAGCAGAAGCAGGGAGTCCATCCCCTGGTCCACCTGCGTCTCAAAGAAGCAAAGGTCGCTTTTAGCCTGCGATTAACCCTCTATCCGCCACCTGGGCACGCGCCACGTAGCCTCGCGACTAACCGGCTCGAGATCCCTCATGTGAGGGAAATTTGTCGAATAGTACAAAAAATCCGCAGTATAGAAAGTGATGCCGCAGAGAACGTTCGAATAACCTTTAATTAGAAAAGTGTTTCAATTTCTACGTCTTTACTCATTGCGCAATACAGATCAACTCTAATGTGCAAGAAAAATAGGTACACACAGTAGCATGTAGTACGAGTATCCAAGATCTATTCCGTATGCATATAAGAGACGTAGTAAACTGAGTTGAAAGCCATGTTTAGAAATTAAATTTGTACAAATCTGGGTTAAACCTTTAGCTTACCAACCTGTGCAATGAGATTTCAAGGTAGTTTTATATTGATCAGGAGGATCGATATTTGTCGTAGGGCCGGAAAACATCAAGGAGGGAAGCTTCGTATTCTTGCAAAAGAAACAAGAATGAGATAGTAAGAAAATGGATAAAAACTTTATGACCGTAAATCCGTAACAGGAAACCATCCACTTATGCCGTTCACTTTAGTGAAGACTTCACACTACTTGGGATGATTATGCTCAAGACTAAAATACGAAACTTGGATAAAGTATAGGAGAACGGTTTTAAATGTAGTTCTATAAAATTTAAACACTCACGACCTACAAGGCTAGAAAGGGACATTTCTTTAGAAGAAAATGTTTGCGAAGGAAGGCAAAGTAATAATTCGGTGCAAAAAAAGGTACCCGGCATACATATCTGATACGAACAAGCAGCACGTCCTGTTTTCCCATTGACGGACGATTTATTCCCATCTAGATGTTAAATATTATGAAAAGGATGTAAATCGGTGAACAGTGCACAGCTAACAGAAGGAACAGGGAATAAAAAGACCACGAAAGAGTGCAAATATGCATACGAAAGTGTAGAACAATCTCCGCACTTAGATAAATAATCCATTAAAAGGAAAAGGACTTCTGTTTTACAGTCATATGAACTATACGAGAGGCCCCCCTCTCGTGAGGGTAACCGGATCCAATAACTCACGAGGTCATGTGGCCCGCACCCTACGTGTAGAGATAGGTTGCAACGTTCGTAGCGAGGCCGATGACAGACGATAATCCCTCCAATAATACGGTAGTAGAGGAGTTCCGAATTCCATGAAGTTATAGAATATCCTCAATTTATCATCTCACGAAACACATAAGTTTATAGAATATTATTTCGAATTTGAATTTGTCTTGACTTAAGATTCCCAAGGGGATGGAAACGAGATTTCAAAAATTTCCTACTGAGACATTCTCACTCCCTCAAATATAAGTGACAACGCCCTAAATCTTTCCCCAGGATTCCAGGGAGAATCGACTCGACCATTATTCAATGACATCCATAAAGAAGATGAAAACCCTAAAGCAGCAACCGAGTCCACATGCAAAAAGTTTAACAGCCGCTCGTGGAAGGCGAATGTGAGGGTGCAAACACGACGCAAAGAGTGCGGGGATGCGCACGATATGATATGTGGTGTCTGTAGGGTCATATGAAATAAAAATGTGTCCTAACGGACAAAGTTCCACTTGTTCAAATTACTTCTGCTCTCGAAATATGAGCCCTTACGCAAAAGAGGAAATAAAGTGTGTCTCTTTGGCTTTGGAAAACCAGAGTTCCATTGTGGTATAACGACATAATATGGACCTCGTAAGGAGAGAACCCTAGATTTTAACTGTTTCCATTTCAAATAACAAGGTTAAATATGTGCCAAGACATGGTGGTTTAAACTTGAAAGTGGGCACTGCTAATACACGCATTGCAGTCAATACACGTCGCATATGTGCTGTATAGACTTGAGAATCGGAAGCCAAAAGAGTCCGGCGACGGCATACTTACCTTGAGGCGCACGTGGTTTCCGAAGATACGCCATCTATTTCAGATGTGTGTATTTATTTGTACTTCTCATATGCACATAATCTTATTTAAGCGCACATATACGGATATGCTCATATGAATTCAAATTATATTCGGGAGATCGATTCAGCCACAAACCTTACGAGCAACAAGTGAATGCCTTTTACTAAAATCAGTGAAAATGAAGTGCCTCATATAAGAAACGGAACGGTTTTTTTTTCGTGTCCCTTGAGAGGACACAGCAAATCCGCTGGCAAGGTTGGCATGAGACAGTGAAGAATGGATATTTCACTGACGTTGGTTCAAGTTAATCGATGATCAGTGAGGATATTGGTGATAAATGATTAACAGTGAGATCGTGCTAAGTACCACAGAGTACTAGCGACTGGTTAGAGTAGCAGAATGAAGGGCAAAATTGCACGTGTTTCGGAGTTGTGTTCCTCGCCCGAAGGCCGCAAGGGCAAGCGAATGACAGGAACATAAACATCTTGTGGTTTTAAAGAATTACTACGACATGTGATCAGAGGTTACCGTTTTACGACGATCTGTGAAAGAATGATGAATGGAAGCGAGAATGAAAATGTGAGGACAACTGAGAGAAAAACTGCAGTGATTGGCGGCCGCGAGACTAGACGACGCGGCATTTCGAAGGAATCATTCGAACACGAACATTACAACGGCCTATCTGTCTTTATGCACACATTTGAAAACTCACAATTTAAAAAAAAAACTGACAATAAAGTCGAGATCCACATAGCGAAGAAAGAGAAATAAATGAAAAAGGCAAATGTGAAAGGATACCTTCGCGGATACCGTTTGTCTCAGTCGTGGTCTCACCGTTAGCGATGAGTTGAACAACGATTGATACCGGATTCGAGCTAGCAACATCATTGCTAGTGTCATCTTCCATCTCTAAATGAAACACGAGAAGAACTCTCTTACAGCAATGCAGTACACTATAACTATTTTATAGCTCAGGACAAGTTCTGAATAACACTACCAGGATGGGTAGTGCGACAGCTAACAATGTCTATTGATTTGGGTCTTATGGGTCAGTTGGGAACATCTGTTAGAGGAGGCATTCATCATCCAATATCTCGCTAATTTTACACTCCCAAAACCAGAACAAATCCTTAGAGACATTTCATTTCGTGATAAGATATCTTATTGGTAATGAATCCTTTCGTTTCCATAGTAAAATACATGACAATATTTATCTTTAAATGCCCAATTTTTTGTTAGATCACATAGAACGAAGTTGAACTAGTAAGAAATACATGAACAAACGAGTAGAAATAAGAAATCTCCACAGCTTAAACCACCTGATTCAACTATTCGACTTAATAAATAAATAGGAACATATACAACATCTGGAATAAACCAAAACTCTGTAAAAAAAAAACGGTAAATGCCGCTTTTAAGCTTAAGTGAAACGATTATTACTGGTGTAAAGACCAGTTTTCTGAATGTAGTCAATAACAGCGAAAGGAGTTGTGAACATAATGGATCTACCAGCAGATACAGCTGTTCGTATATTCGTAGAACTAATACTACATGGACAAATATCATCAGCAAGAATAAGCACTTGATCTATAACATCTCGTAAACAGGAAATGGATCGCAGAGCCCTGACTGGGTCCGCGCCTTCACGTCGGATAACGATAAGGCCGAACTTTGTGATGATCTCTCGAACATCACTCGGATGCCAGAGGGGATCACCGCTTGGTAGCACTCTCGTAAAGGACTCGACTACATCGCCACCAACCACCAGAACGAGACGGACGTCGGTTTGCAATTTCCTTCGTGCCTCCTGGTGGTGATGCTGGAGCACCAACACGGTCCGAGACCATGATTTCTGTCTACATTCCCAACCATCAGCTCGAAGCCATTTCGAGTGTGCAGTGGCTGCCTCTATCATGGCAAGGCGGTGATGAGCGGACGCGAGATTAGGCTTATTAAACGAATCCGCCACTGGACTCAACAATCCTTCGAGGACCGTACAGTGTAGTTGTTTCTCCAGATGATCTCGTGCAACCTCCATCATTCTCAAGTGCATCAGGGTTGGTGGATTGAACGAACCGCATGCCAACAAAATCACTCTTTGTGTACCCTCCCACCGCCACATCTGAAAGATGATCCATATCTCGAGATACTTGCCACAAAATCTAAAAGGATTGGAATAAATCTGCCAAAAAACCAAGGTATAAACAAAAACTCTTAGAGAGTGAAAAGCACCCACAGAATATAAACTTTATGATTATACAATACCGTAGATAAGATTGGTCTCAAGCTACCTTAACAGTTTTTTTAATTCGTATTTTAAGGACATACAGTGACGCTTTCCTCATTCCTATTTAGCCAAACTGGAAGTGATAAAATTGAATGAAACTATGGATTACTAAACTACTATCATAGACCATTATTACTTTCCACAGGACCCGACACACTCTAATTTTACGGATGGTTGTTTACCACCGGATTAAACAACATTTTCAAAACTACTATTTGAATGACAAGATAGTGTTAAGGTACGAAATTTTTTTCTAGACAACTCGTCTTTCACACCTACTGTGCGGATCCCAGTACTTCTCGCATTCGATTCATTTACTCGCATCCATCACTCACGAAGATTTTCCAACTTCTTATGTGTGGATCCATCTATTGTTTGAGGATTTTCCCTGGAGACTTTAAGCTTTTAAGTAACAATATTTCAAAAACCGAGTTTCATTTAGCCTCAGTACGACTAATCATCGTGTACTCTTCCATTAATAAGCTAACACGAGGTTGGCATAAATGTTTTAATTTTAACTTATTATTCACTGCCTACTGTTTTTAACGGCAGGGTATATTATTTTGCAAATATCTCAGTATCATTAAAGTTATATTTCGCAATATACGCTGCCATTGAAAAGAGTAGGAAGTAAATAATAAGTTAAAATTGTGGTTATAACTGCGGCCTCAGCTTAACTGGGTTCGTTGCCGATTGGGCCCCCCCAGATCAGTCCCGCTGACGGGTGATTGCTGATGGCAAAAGATCGATAGAACTAGCTGAGAGACAGACAGCCGAAACGAAGGACCCGCGTGGTGTGGTGGTGAACACGCTACTCCCCGGAAAGGACAATAGCGCGTTCGTTCCCCACCGCATACACCTGCGGTCCGAAGTTTTGCAAATATCTCAGCACCATTGAAGTCATAAACGTTTAACTCGGCTAGCGTTTCGGCGCCTTCGTCTTCTTCAGAGCCCATAGATCCGAGTGGATCGCCCATAGTTGTTCCTTCTTTCGATGTGGATCATCATGATAGCATGAAGACTAATCCAGTGGAGCACCGCCCGAATAAAGTAGTCCCATTCGGCATTGGTCTTTTATACAGGACGGTTGTTAACACTGATTATCCGCTGATAACCATTTGTTCTCCTTCAGAAAATTCATTCTGCAGCAGTCGGTATCCCTTTCAGCTAGTACAGAGCATGATAATATTCCAGAAACCAATTTCCCTTTAACCTTCGAAGGAATAATGAAAATGCAGTTTTTTTTCACTCAGAAGTTAACACTAGATTGACAAATAAAATCTATAGAAACTTTACACAAACCCTGTAAGCAGATCCCTTTCAAGTTTTGATTTGGTACACTTACTTGGACAACCCGTCTTCACTGGTTGTGCGGACCCCAGCATAATTCCCATTTTTCGAAGTCTTGCTGGTTTAGCCATTGTGGTTCCCTGGAATCCCGAGGTCAGCCTGGCCAAAGTCTGCCTCGGGTTATCACGACCACGAGCAACCTTGTCGATTAGAGAGAGAGATTTGTCACCATGCGAGTAATTTGAAACCAGGACGGTGGTGAAACCTAGCATAGGTTTACATTTAGCTAGGCTTCCTGATGGAAACGTTGGACTGCTCACTTTGGGAGGCCCTACCGACGGGATGAATCCCCTCACTGAACATCGCAGTCCGAGACACAGGAACACCTCCCAGCCACGATGAGGCGGTAAACCGTTTGGCTTGGTTTACGGATTAGATTTTCACTAAAAGTTGGGAACATTCACCGAATTTTAAAGATACGTCTCTGTACAGCAATATGTAAAGGCTATTTATAAGTCAAAACCGCCAAAACGTCAAATCAACCAGTATTTCAAGAACAAGTGATAGCGAGCTCTAGTCAGCTCAAGAAGGATTCCGAGGTATATTGGAAACCGGTTTCTGGGACTAGCCCTGAATGATTGAATGGCATCGTTTTCAAGCCGACAGTACAGAAGTGCAATAACCTTAACACAACTTAGTAAATGATCAGTGTTAAGATGACCTATGTCGCCTTAAAACCACTTTTATCAATAATTCAATATCAAGATCGATGTCAATAATCAATATGTATTTAACGACGAGTTCGTAACGACTTCAAACCTCTACATGTCGGGTCCCATGATACAAGATTGATTAACTCAACCTAAACGAACTTAGCTTATCAGTGAATATAAGGTAACCTTGCTTACTTAAAGTGGTTTTCGAGTAGATAATTTTTGTCTTGAGGAACGAAAACAACCTTCCTAATCGATAGGTAGTAATTTCGTGGCAAAAGCATAGAGAACAGTACTTCTTCAGAGATTTTATGAACCTCAACTAGACTCTCTCGCGTAGTTTAGATAGTTTTTGGTCTTCATATTGGGTGGACGGTGATACAGGTCTAGAGAATGAACCTTAAAATTACCTATGAAAACCCTGGTCAAGTTTCTTTCCTACCTTCAAGTTTACTTATAGTCAACTCAAGTCAAGTCCACTTTATAAATTCTAGTTGAATATAAAAAGTAGTTGCAAATGGACGATGAAGAGAAGGAATTTGAACAATGTAACAGAAAACTTCACCATTGATCTTCGCGAGGATTGAAAAAGCATAAAAACGCTGCTGAAGGTCTCGCATGGAACAGCCTGTTTTTGCGCGGCGGCACTGGCTAATACTCAGGGCAAGTTGTGAATTGCTCACAATACGCAGCGAAATCGGGCCGGACTCCTGTGTCATCGTTGTGGCCTGGTTGGTTTTGGTTCGAGAGTGTGTAGGAGTATTCCAGTACTTTCTGGATTCGATAGTCCGTTCTTGCAGTCCTGCAGAGTTTAATTCGTACGATTCGTGGTCTCATGTGGTCGTACATGTTTTGTGTCGAGTGGATGTTTATTCCACTGCATCTGTTTCTGGAAGATCCTTTTGCAGTGGTATGGCAAACCGATCCGCTGCTGCTCCTCGTGCCGGTGCTGCTAATAAGACCTGCCAGTTCAAACTCGTCCTACTTGGCGAGAGTGCAGTTGGTCAGGTTTTCGACTTTTTTCTTGTCAGTTTACCTCTGTGGTATCTTATGTGGGTACAGGTTATAATTTTATAGCCAGAAGCTGAGACAATTGTGTTTTGGTCAATTGAGAGATATTGTCTTATGGAGTGTCGTGACAAAGAGGCATGGTTGTTTTTAGATTACGTTTGTTCTTGAACACTTGTTTCACTTTAACTGAATCCCGCACCCGGAATAAATGGGAGATGAGCAGAAATAGCAAGTTTCAATCCGCATCTCTGCCTCCAGTGACCGACCATCACTTGAGATACTGGGTTGTTTTCGGAATAGCTGTTGAAGCTTAAAAGTTAAAGTAATCGGCTTTGAAACAGTAAAGTCGTTGAGAGGTCCTCACCACGCTGTTATTGCCCTGGGCGAAATTTATGGGCCTTTTGCTACTATAAACTTGGGTAGCCTTGTTTGAGAGAAATGTAGAAAAGTGAAAAGGAGCTAGAAGAGCGATGTTTATTCCCTTATGGTGTACCCTTTTCGTTAATCGTTTCTGCTTCTATGAAACTTAGTTTTGTGTTTCTTTAATGCCTTCCTCTAGGATACTGTGAACACGGCATGGATAGAAGTGAAGTGAATTTGTTTTCATAATTTGAATGTCTGTTTCTCATCTGTAGAAGGACGTTTCCAGTGTTTTCAGGGAACCAGAGCAGGAGAAAGGCGCATCCCTCCATGTGAAATTACGAGTGATTTTTTTACTATCGTTTTGCTTGTTTCAGGAAAATCTTCGCTCGTCTTACGTTTTGTCAAAGGTCAATTTCACGAATACCAAGAGTCAACGATTGGTGCTGCTTTTTTAACGCAAACAGTGTGTTTCTTTTTCTTCTGTTGATTTTTTTCTAATGATTTCTTGAAGATTTTGCACTTGAATTTTTTCTTGTTTAATTGGTTTCATGTAATTGGTATTCATTCATGACTTTGTGAATATTTGGATACTTGGATGGCCTGTCTTCACTGGTTGTGTGGGCCCTAGCATAATTTCCACTTTTTCGGAGATTTGCTGGTTAAGCCACTGTGGTTCCCTGGAATTCCGAGGTCAGTAGGGCAAAGTTTGCCTCAGGTGGTCACCACCACAGGCAATCGCAGCCCTTGTGGATCCAGAGGGAGATTTGCCACCGTGCGACTAGTTTGGTACCAAGATAGTGGTGGATCTTGATGTTGGTTTACTCTTAGCTGGACTTCCTGTGCGACGCAGGTCGACACCCAGGAACACCTCCCAACCACGATGAGGCGTTGAAACGTAGGAGGAGTTTGTGAATAACGTTCGCAAAAAGAAGGGATTCAATATTGGAGCAAATCTTGGAACAGTTTCTTAATCTCAACAGTGCTAAAGTTTGTTACCAAATTCTGTTTCCACCTTCTCGCTTTTGCGTGCTTATCGCTACATCGTCCTTATAAGTTCTGCATTTGTGGTGATTATTAATGTCAATGTGTAAATCCACCATTACCTTGAAGTCAGAGTTTGCCAGTCATAATTTTTTTCTGTGATTGTAACTTTGGTAGGTTTGCTTGGATGATGCTACTGTGAAGTTCGAGATTTGGGATACTGCCGGTCAGGAACGATACCACTCTCTCGCACCGATGTACTATAGGGGAGCACAAGCCGCTATAGTTGTGTACGACATTACAAATCAGGCAAGTTTCTTTTACTATTATAACCGTTGCGTTTGCGTTACTCTCATTTATGGCACTAGCATAAATTTCAAATGTGAGAAGTTGCGTCGGACCGTCGATGTCATTCACATCTGGTTTAAAATAATGGTGATTTCTAAGATACTTCATAATTATCACATTATTGTTCTGGCTGAGAGGCAGGCGAAACGAAGAACCCTCATGGTGTGGTGAACGCGTTAGCTCATGGAAAGGGTAATAGCGTGTTCGATCCCCACTGCAGACACTTGTCGTCCGGAGCTTTGCAAATATCCCAGCGTCAATATGGTTGATTTCGCTTGATACCCTGCCGTGTAAATTGTGGTAGGCAGTAAATAAAAGTCCGAGGGTATGAGTCCGATTAACACAGCTCGGTATCAGAACTGTCTCCTACAACAAATGCAACAGATACGAGTGTGAAGTAGTTTCAGCGAACTCTGCTGATGTGCTTTATTTAAATTACTTCCTGTTCTTACTAATTTCATCGCACTTTTTTAAGTCCTTATGTTTTCTTCGAATTTTGTCATTCAATTTATTTAAGGAATCTTTTCAAAAGGCCAAGAATTGGGTGAAGGAGCTCCAGAGGCAAGCATCTCCTAATATCGTGATGGCTTTAGCGGGTAACAAGGCTGACATGGCCAATAGGGTTTGTCGGTTTTTTGCTTTTTGTTTTGATATTGCCTTCATCTGTAATCCCTAACCGAACGAACACCGCCATGAAGCTTTTGAGTCGTCTAAAATAAATTATAGGTATTTCCTTTGGACATGAATTTGACTGTTGAAGTTTTTCGGTCAGACCTACCTTTTCATTAATAATTAGTGTTTCTACATAGTGTTCGAAATGAAATATAATTGAGCCTTGTTGCCTTCAGGAAAAGGAACCGATTTTCTAAAGTGGAAGACTTTTGTTGTTTTAGAGAACCGTCGAATACGAGGAAGCTCAAGCTTATGCAGAAGATAATGCACTGCTTTTCATGGAAACTTCGGCAAAGGTTTTTGTTTATTCATATTTTTCTCTATTATTCGTTAATCAATAGGCGATTTCCTTAGACATCAATGAATGTGAACGACATCTTCATGGCAATCGCGAAAAAACTGCCTATTGGTCCACCTAGTGGTGAACCAAGTGGTACAGTGGACATGAACCAGCCGCAACAGGCACAGAAGGGTAATTGTTGCAAGTAAAGTTCTTTTTGGATGAGGTAAAGCACACCTGGCGTCTTCACTGCCGACATACGTACAGGAACTACTTCGTTGTTTTTTCAACATATAGTGAGGAAAGCGGAAATCTCCTACAAATGCAATTCAGTTCTCTAATTGAAAATTGACCCTATACTTCGCTGTGTGTCTGTCGTTAGCGTACGATGTGAGGTGTTGTGATATTCTGAGTTCCCATTTATCGGGCTCATCCTTTCAGTCATCAGTCTTCGATATGTTTTTGCTTACATACGATATTGTATATGTTTTTTTTCTTTTTTGAAGGACGCCTTTTCCTCACATTCTAGTGCTGTGCTACGATATTCTAGTGTTGTGCTACGTCCTATTTTCAAATCCTATAATCTTCTTCTAATGTAATATCCACAAATTTTCTCTGTACACAACATTTTCTCCTCTACTGTGTTCTTTTCTTATTCAACAGCAAGACATGTAACGGTTCATTCATTGAGAATTCGTCTTTAGTCGTCGTTTCCCCACCATTCATTAGCTTCACTTGTTTTCGATTTCCTTACCATTTTTTTCTTTTGTCATGCTGTAGATTTACCCTCAATTCACATTATTTATGCCATCGACTACTGTGCGGCTTCAATTTCACGTCAGTGGGTGTATGGTTGTCCCTTTTGTGAAATATTTCTGCATGTTTTAATATAAAGCTATTCTAATGATTTCTTTTCTCTTTGATTTCATAGTAGTCATTCTCATACGTCTATGGCATGGTTAGTTCGGAGCAGATTTTCCACATTTAGTTGTTAAAGTTTACCTAGTTGACTTGCACGAAGTAACACCGGGTAGAACACTTGATACCACCTCATCTGCTTTGTCGATTTCATTCCGGTGTTTCGTTTGAGGAAGGAAGCTAGCACCGAGCAGAACACTGGGTACTGCTTCGTCGATTTCAATCCTGTTTCCTTTGAGGAAGCTAGCACCGAGTGGGCCATTTGGTACTCCTTATCATTTTCAATTTGGGTGTTTCGTTTGAGGTTAACACCAAGTAGTACTGACTAGAACGAGTAGAACACTTTGTACTGCTGTAGTAGTTTTCCGAGTGTTTCGTTTGACGAAGTTAGCACCGAGTGAAACACTTGATACTACTTTATCACTTTCAATCTGGGTGTACACTTGGTACTACATTATTAGTTCCAATCTGAGTGTTTCGTATGAGGAAGTTGCCCAGACTGGCAACAGTTGAGCGCGATGCCGATCATATTATGTGCGCCCGAAGACTGTTCCCACATGCTATGTTCAGAGAATCCCACCTCAAACGGTAGTGAACTTTATCGGTTGAGAAAAAACTATTGGAATCTACAGCTTTCTGCCAGTTAGTTGCAATTCATCTTTTTTTTCGGCAATTGTAAAGTTCAGACTTTTATGGACGGCTAGACATTTTTCCGCTTTCTCCTCCTAAGGGTTCGTATCTCGTACAGCGAAGCAATTTGGCAATTTCATACAAGGAGAGTGGTAGTGTCAAGTAATATAAAGCAAATTTTTTCTACATGTTTAGAAGTAAATTAATATCTCAGGGAATATTTTTGTAACACTAGGACTATATGAACGCGTGTAACGCAGTGGTAGAATGCGCCCTGAAATATACAGGGTATCGATCCTCGCGCCCCTCCTTACCAAACCTTCCATCCTCCTAGGTATTGGTACTAGACTTGTCTGGGAGGATAGCAGCGATGGCTGGATACATCGGCCGGCCACCGCGAGTCATTGTAATGGCCAGATGTGTATTCAATCACCTCCAACGATACTTAATGAAGTCGAATGCATGGCGTATCCCTCAGGGATTGATCAATGTGGACAGCTTTATCCTTTTTATCCTTTATGACCCGAGATCAGATATTGTTCGACAAGACTGGAAGGCGAGAAATGTGCCAGAAATAGTTACAGAGATTCAATGACGTTAATATTAAAGTTCGGAGTCTCTTGCAGGTGATCTGAGCTTTTCGTTGACGGAGTTTCCTTCGACAATGTAGAGCTGAACACTCTACAAATCTGTGAGAACTTCCATGGATTTGTTAGAGCAACGAAAGCAACAGTGGACCTCAGTAGCATGGCGGGCATACATGTGTGGATGTTGAGTTGAGATCTCCAACATGCTGATTCATTCTCGCAGAAGGAATAACATAAATTGAGAATAAATGCAACATTTCCAACCAGAGCCAAGCTTACAATTAATCAATCCCGGGAATTGACGCCGTCTAGGAGTGAGGCTAATAATATGCCAATAGTCGTTCTCCCATCGATATAGAGGGAGTGGCGAACGTTTGTGATGACGAAGTTAAAGCATTTTACGGCGCGTTTGGTGCAGTGGCTGGAGGCGCCACTGCGACAAACACGTGGGATCAATACCCGTGCCCCAGGCCCAACAAGCCTTCCATCTCTCTGGGGTCGGTAAATTGGTACCAGACTTGTCTGGGATTATAGCAGCACTGGCTCGTTACATCAGTAGGCCATGGCGAGTCATTATAAAGGCTAGACATGCATTTAGTCACCTCCAACGATGCCTGGTGAAGTTGCATGCATGGCGCATTCGTCAGGAATTGATCAACGTTGAGAGCTTTATCCTTTCATCCTCTCAAGGTCATAAAGCAAAGTGTATTTTATAAGTGTATTAAGTTAGCAACTGACTCACTGATTAACTGCTAGTTCATCTACATTATCAAGAAACGCGTGTTATTTAACGCGAATTAGGTGTTATCTCCAGTGACTCATCATATAGAATGCTACTGATAGAAGGTTTTAGTGACTGTAATTACAACGTCCACTTTTTATTTGCTGCCTACTACATTTTTCGCGGTACGATGTTATTTGAAATACAACCGTAACGATGCAGAGATATTTGCAAAACTCTGTGCCAGAGGTGTCTGCGGTGGGGAACGAACGTGTTGTTACCCTTTCCAGGAGTTAATTCGTTCTCCACAATACCATGCAGATTCTGGGTTCTTCGTTTCGCCTATCTGTCAGGTGGTTTTCTACTTACCAGTGCCATCTGCACCCGTCAATGGGTTAACTACAATTTAAAGAAAGTAAGATATGATGTGTCTGGGTTTTTTAGGAAATCTGTTTCTGTCGATGAAACTGACCTCGTCGTATGAGCATAGACGGATCAGCACTGTAAGGAGTGAATCCATACAATTTGAAAAAAAAAACTTAAGAAGGATGGGATGGTTGCTGGGATACTGGTTATAAATGTACCGGTGAATGTCATAACCGCTGAAATATTCTTTGTACTTCATATGGCAGTTGCTGGAACTTGTTCAGCATGTTTTATGTGCTTGTTTACTTTATGGTCGTGTCGAATATGTTTGCCTGTCACTCATTTTGAATGTTTTCGTGCTGGGAGAGGTGTATCTTACCGTAATGGTCTAGATTTTCCTCACCAAGGAAGTAATGCTACATAAGTCCTAACATATGGACATAATTCTTACTGATTTCAGAAAAATAGTGTAGACATTAATGCCAATAACGCCGAGATCTGATGAACCGATGTTTTCACCGTACGCTTCAGTTCGTTCAACTACTGATCCCATGGAAGCAGCTGCTTATTTGCTGAGATTCGTTGACGAAACGACATCGCGAATTGTTCAACCTGGACAAGGTGGCTTCATCTTTACATTTTAGATGGAGTTCTATCAAAGAAATTTATTTCAGGAATGAACTTGTCTTTAGAATTTTGTGGTAGAATCAAACTAATGTTTACTGTTTTTTGTTTACTGTGTTTACTAATCAATTCGGCAAGAGCTACATCTGTGTATGAAATTTTCTTTCCCTTGCTTAATTCTGACCAGTATTTTTCTTTTTACGAGAATGCAGTACATCTCATATGTGGTTTAAGTAGCTGAACTAGCTGGACTTGGAATCTGGGTATATAGCGAATACTTCTGTTTTTATACTATATTAGCTGTTCAAGCTTGATCGTGTGCTTACCGTCGTTAAAAAAAAAGATATAAAACTTTGTGCGGCGATCTATCCGTGAAGGATGCGCTATCTACTCGTCTATGTTAAGCATTTTTGGAAGTGATTGCATGCATATTTGACCTTTACAACGACTCGCGGTATAATGCAGTGGTTAGAGGTGCCCTGCAGGACACAGTTAGTTTTTGGTTCGTTCCGTTGCCTCGGGCTGGTAAGGCATCCCGTCCGCGTAGTGTAGGTAAATTGGTGGCAGACTAGCTTGGATAAGAACACTGATTTGACGCATTGGCAGACCAGAGCGATAATCATATGTACTTCACATGCATTCATTCTTATCTGCGATGCTTGGTGCGGTCGTATGCAATCAGGGATCGAGTAACGATAAACACCTTATCGCTTTGTTATACATTAAAATGTCTTTGCATTATTATTTAAAATGGTTTTATAGTGGGGTCCAGACGAAGAGTACGGACAAGCCTGTTACTTCTTTTTTCTTTTATAGGCCGTCGGGGTGAACACGGTGTGATCACTAGTGGCCGAGTGATTCCTTCAGTTAGCGAACATGAGGAGATGCCGTCCTCATCGTCCAGACCCCACTTGGACACCACCATATCCGATACTACAACGACAGCTACATCTCCTCGCGCTTCTCCACGTCCATCTGTTCCCGTTAGATTTCCTTTTATTGTTAAAAAAAAAAGCAGTCGAATTTCCTTTATTCCCTGCATGAATGGTTAGTGTTTTGGCCTAGTGCTAAGCTCAAGTTATAAGAATCTGCAGCTTATTTTCGAATACATCGCTATCTTCAACGCTGCACTGTTTCGATTCTAGTGTTCGCAACATATTTAGTTCTTGAGATAAGTCTTCGGTTTCGAATCGAGTGAACTAAAACGTCGCTCGTGTTTTGTGTAGCGTGAAATCACTGTTTAGCGAGCATTCAGCTCGAATCACTGTATTTCTGAAATCGGCGATGTGTGCGAAATTCAGCCACAATAGTGGTTTACGATTCTTTGAGATCCTGCAATTAATACGAATTATGGTTGGATCTT